GTTGTTGTTGTTGTTGTTGTTGTTGTTCTAGGTTTATAAGTAATTCCGTAAATGTAAGTCATCACTTTATGTTCTTCAATCATTCAAGTCCAAACCATAAACTCCAATAAATTTAAATATATATATTGTTTATTAAAGAAAAAACATAAAATAAAAGCCTAATAGAGTATATAATTATAATTTTAATAGTCGTTGATAAAGAAAAACTCTGAAATACCTAAGTTGTGCTTGAGGCTGATAAAGCAGACGGCGGTAGACACGGTCTTTAGTGTAATCAATGGCGGATGGCGGTACATGGTGGTTTGCCAAACGGCGGCCTATGGCGTCGCCATGACCGCCATCCTTCACAAATTTTGCATGGCTGATTGTCAAAAATCCGCCACTCTATACTGCCATGGCCGCCATTTGATAACACTGACGGTCTTACAGCGGAAGGAAAGGTGAGGTGATCAAGATCGATGAGAGGCTGTTTAATTTCTCCCTCAGTTGTCTTTAGTCTTTTCTGTTCTGACCAGTTTTGATGATGGCTGTTTTTTCTTCATTTCTTTGTTTTAAATTTTAAATGAAATATTCTAAAAACTTAATAGTGCTAGGCATCGCATTCAGCTTCCAGCCGCTGAGGGGTGCTTAAGAATCGCTGGGGAGAATTTTTTGGCTGACCAGCATAAATAATAGGTGTTCTTGTTGAGCCTATGCAGCCACCTAGGGTGACTTTTAGTATATTGCTAATTGCTAATATTTGGCAGTGGCTATAAACTTGTACTTCTTGCACAATGATTTTAACTGTTAATTTTTCTACTGTAGAGGAAGGCCTTACGAAGCGTGGATTTGAGGTTACTAGACTGAACACATATACCACGGTATGACGCTTCTCTTGGATTGTAACATGCCATATGGTTGTATAGTTGAACATTGTTGGTGGCCACAACTCTATCAGCACACTTAAGATTGGTAGGATATACAGTATCTAAGGCACAGGAATACGGTTTGTCATTGTTTCCGTTATTAAGAAAAAAGTGGTGCGTGCAACCCATTTATGTTTGTTATTTTAGAGACCTTGAGTTTGTGCATCACAAACTATAATAAGATAGCGTACTGAATTTTTTTATAAGCTTATCTTAGTTTGTTATCTGTGAGCCCTGTACATTAATCCGATGCATTCATTCATCTGAGACCATAAGAGTGACACGTAGTTTGAAATTCATTTGGGTCTATGTTTCATGTAATGTGATTTAGAGATTTTTTTTTTCTTTAAAAACAGAAAGAAACTTCAGAAAAGGGAGAAATGTGGTGTGGAGGTCCCTGTGTATGCCTATGGTCGTTTCAACCTGCTATGACCATCCAAGTGGGTTATTTGTTAGGCTTAAAAGGAAGCCCTTGGTAATATGAACCTGTTGGCAGAATATTCTATTATCATTTTAAAGGGGTTGGTTGATTACAAGCATCAGTAAACATGGGATTGTGCATTTACCAGTTCACAAGTTGAAATGTGAGATCTCTAGTGGAGTATGTGAACGCGTAATATATGTTTGTTTATGGCATCGTTTGGTGAACATGCATTCAGGTCTTCGACAACTAAATAATGGTTCCACTTTATTTAGTTGTTGAACCAGAAGTTTGTTTGAGTGTTTGTTTTTTTTCCTCCTACACAGGAACTTGTCAGCCATGTGGATGAAATTGTTTTAGAACAAGCACTTTTAGCTCCTGTTATCGCTGTAGCATCTCCTTCTGCGATTCGGTAAAACTGTTAACTTGTTATAGTTATGTGTGCTCGTCTTTTTTACGTAACAATTTGCTGAATCTTCTTGTGCATGACTTTAAATATTATAATTGCTTATATCTTTAAGTTACCCTCAACATTAGGAACCGTGTTCTGTTTCTTTTTCTTGTTTTATCAGTCAGCTGCCTTTTACTTGTTCATGTTGGGGATGCCTCGGGTAGGCATTAACTCAACTTAAAGGTTGGCGGTTTTTTTTTAATATATATACTATTAATTTTGTCTGCCCTCTTTGTTTTTGTTTCCTGCTTGTATCAGTGCATGGGTGACCTTAATACCAGAACCACAACGGTGGGATAATGCTGTTGCATGTATAGGGGAGACAACTGCGTTAGCAGCTAAAAAACTGGGATTAAGGAATGTGTATTTTCCAGAAAATCCGGGCATTGAAGGGTATATGTCTTTTCTCTTGAAGAGCAATTTCTTCTAAACTCTCTCAAATCGTATCTGTGCTTCAATAAGCATTTCCCCAATTGAAGTCTCTTTCTATCTACTTTTATTTTCCCATGGTCAAAGTACCTTCAAATTAAAAACAATTCATGGGTTTATTCCATGGTGGCATTTTATTTATCATATTTCTCCTATGATGAGAAATGCCTGGAGTCGGGAAGAACATGTTTTATTTGTCCACATTACTTGTAAATCATCGTATCATATACATATTATATATCTCCTTCATACTATGATAAAGCAATATCTTCACTAAATACATATACAATAAATTTACAAAATACATCTTATCATGTTTTTGGGATGAAACATGCTTCATTGACTGCTTAGCTTCCTATCCTTCCGATTGACCAGACTATGTTCCTTCTGTAAATTTTCTCTAATACATTTCGATAATATCAAATGAAGCTGCATTATTCTCTTATAACGAATTCATCTGTGCTTATGCATAGTGATATCTATATGTCAGATGAATCCAATCGTATTTCACTTTTTCTCCCCCTTTCTCTTCCATTTCTTTCTATCAGGTGGGTTAATAGCATATTGGAAGCCTTACAAGTCCAAAACCAATTACAGAAGGTTTGGAAGGTTGAACGTTACACAAACCCGCGTTTGATCTGTGAATGAAACTCTGGAATGACCTTGCTTGTTCCGCTGCGTATATGTTGCTGGCTTTAGAGGGTAATTTTTTTTCCCTATATGAAGTATAAGCTTTTGGAGGCGAGACTGGAATAGGAAGGTAAGCGCGAAGATAAACCATGTATATCTATATAGTTTTTTGTATGTATGGGATTGTAGAAAAATACTTGACGGTAATGTCCTGGTGCAACTAATGACATTTAGTATGTTAACTTTGACTTGGTGATTTTTGTTGGAATCTGCTGTCTGTTTAACTGGATTTTCGTTGTCAATCTGTTGTTTGAAGATGATGGGAGTATATGGTTTTAAGGGTGGCCGGTCTGGAAATCCATGGTATGGCTGGGGGAGACTGACTGTAGGTTATGAGTTCCCTACAAAGGGGAACCATGTCTTGGATCTTTAGTATTCTCTTATTTATTACCAATGTGGCAGAATATTGTCACCCATATTTACTAATGGAATTTAGTTTCGGTTGTAATTAGATGCTCTCCCTCTTTCCTTAACCTTTTCTTTTGGATTTTTTTTATTTACTTTTGTATTATATTACTCGATTATACATTATATATTATATATTAACACGGTTGTCTAACCGATAGGTCTACCAAACAACAATCTTACTCGAAAATTAAACTACATAATGTACAATGCCTATTATATCTTCAAGCCCACAGTTGTGCTGTTATTTTGATTCTGTAACTGTCCAATACAGTTTAGGTTACATTCTGGAAATGTTCACCATTGGTTTTGTTGCATGATGTAACTGTGGCTACTAAATTCACCTGCCTAAACAAGCTATTTTAAATGTTGTTATTGTGTTGCAAGAAAATGCTGCTATCTTGTGCGCGGTCTACGGAGCGTAGGCTAATACTCGTTCGTATAATATACAAGAAAACACTATTTGCGGGACATGTTCGATACTCAGGCTTAACCTACTTGTTCGCATAATATACAAGAAAACACTATTTGCGGGAAATGTTTGATACTCAGTCTGACCCATTTTAATGCACGGGAAACGCTATAATATTTGCGAGATATGATTGCTACTCAAGCTGGCCGCGCCCCATTTACTCCTACCTCATGTAGACATGGCCAATTGCCGGGCTGGGGCCCGGCCTCGGCCCGCTGGGTCTGCTGGCCTAATCTCATGGAGCCGATCACGGGCTGGTACGACCCTTTTATTAGAAAAATATATAACATGTGGCTTGCCGTTCGACCCGCGACCCGGCCCGGCCCGACCAAAAAAATATTTGAACTGGGACCTAACTGCAACCCTAAGATCCGGTTCAGGGCCAGTTCGGGCCGGGTCGGGGCCGGTTCACGGCTAATACACCTTAATATATATATTTTTATTATGTATTTTTTGGATCAGTTACTAAATTAATTCTAAATTTGGTAGCAAAGTATTCAAATGTGTAATGGCTAATGTTGAAACTTAAAGTTTATTGACACATTCAGAGTTGTAACTGCTTTGGTTGCATTGTTGGAAGAAAAATATGATTGACACATTTTTTTTTCTCTAAAAATCAGAAACACCAATATTTTTTTTTATTTTTGTTAGTTTTCTTAATATATGCCACAAATATATAAATTATTTTATTCATGTTACTATTGTAAACATTGCATTGTTAAAATAAAATTTATATCTCACTTAATTTTGAATGATAAAAATAACTTAAGAAAAACTAATAATTTTTATATGATAGAAGTACATGTCTAATTAATAAATACAAACAAAAATATATTTTATATCTTTGCAAATGCATAGGATCAATATACTAGTTTATTATTATAATTGAACTCAAATGTATTTGTTTTAGGAAATAATTTTATTAGCCTTTATTTTGTATAAAATTTACTGTTATATGTTATTCCCTTAAGAAATCCTAGTACGAAACCCATGTAGCCCATAAAATGTGCGGCAATAATGGCCAATTTACATATATACTTAATTATATATACTTAATTGATTGATAAGTAATTGTAAAAATACTAAATGGGAAACTTATTTACACATTTACCTAACCTAGAATAAATATTTAGATAGATACTACATATTAAAAGCATTCTCTCTCCTCTCTCATTTATCTCCTCCTAACAATTCTCATTTATTTATCTCTTTCTTATTCCACATACTATTCATCTATTTTTTTTCCCTTATCTTCTCCATAATATTCTCCTTCCCCCTTCTCTCTTCTCTTTATTCCATTCCATTTAAAATTTAATTATATCTTCATGTAAATACATAAGAAATTTTATTTTATTGTAGACTTATATTTATTTTAATTTTCAGTTTATTATAAATCATGAATACATAAAAGTTTATTATAAATTTATAAACCAATACAAGAATGTATAAATTATGAATAAACATCAAGTATTAAGAATATCTAGTTTATTTTCACTTTATTATAGGTTTGCAAATATAAACAAATACAAGAATACAAAAATTATAAATAAATATTAAGAATTAGAATCACCTTTATGTTCCAAACAGATTCACACAAAAAATATGTTAATATACAAAACATAAACTATAAATAAAATCAAATAAACATTGAAAAATGAACTAGAAATCTGATAATAGACCAAACATAAACTATAAATAAACATCAAAAAAATATAAATATACATATACACACACAAAAAAAAAACTTGAGCGCTCTAGACAACAAGGGCTAGCGGTACGAAAAAATCAGTTTCTGAATATTTTGTAGTATATTTTGCATTTGCGTTTGCGTTTTATTTTCGTAAAAATTGCAGCTACAATGATCACGAAGTATATGTTGAGTATAAAAGCCAGTATAAATTTTCATGTCTTGAATGAACATTATATATTGAGTTTATATTCAGTATATGTGATTATATTCTCTTAATATTTTGTATATATTTAGTACATGTTGTTGTCTCAGCTGGAGAAAACGTCGGGGAGGGAGACAACAGCGGCGAGACGGCAACGGCGCCCACGAAACAACCAAAGCATGGACAAATTGTGCCATAATTTTCATCCCGCCACAACAATCTCGCCTCGTCTCCGCCATCAACCTCCGCCGTCTGCCATCTTCTTCCAATCGCAGCAACCGGCCCGTCGCCGCCATCAGCCACGACGTCATTGCCGTCGCCGCCGACAGCATTCCCCACATCGCCACCTGCAACCACCGCAACTGGCCCACTTCATCTCCGCTAGAAAAGTGCAGAGAAGTTGCAGGTCGGGGCACCGACAGCGTGAACCACCACCTTCCTGCCGCGCCGGCCTCCGTCCGCCGCCAGTCGGCTCGTCGCCGCCACAGAACGCCATTCCAGTCGCTGGCAGAAAAGAGAACAAAAATTAGAGCATTCTAGGATTTGGGGCATTTTTTCTGAAAATTTGATATGTTAAGAGGACTCAATTGCAATTTTATAAACTTCAACATATTACAATTAAGTTCATGGGTCCAAATTATAATTTATAAAGCTTTCAATACTTGCACATTAGTTTTACGTAAATTGCACGTTAACGATAATTAAAATGCACATCAGCGTTATGTAAAGTGCACATTAATATTTTTATCTGAAATTTTATTTATTTTCATTGAAAAAATAATATTATTATAAGAAAATAGTATTTTTTTTTATATATATAGTTTGTTATGTATGATTATTTTGGTTATTTAAAAAAATAAAAAAATAAAGAGATGTTATCGAATCGAAATGACTAACATTTTTAAAGTAAACATATATAATCGACCCGACATAAAATTTGAACACAAAAACCGAAGTCGGTCTAGTTATGTCCATATAGTGCAATATATCGTATATTAATGTGCAACCCGTTTAACACTAGAGTGCAATATAACTATTATTAATGTGCAATCAGACTATTACTAATTCCCATTGGACGTGCAACTATTTTATTATTATTATCACTATTATTATCATCATTATTATTATTATTACTATTATTATTATTATTATTATTATTATTATTATTATTATTATTATTATTTTGCATAAAAATATATTTAATATTAGTAATATTTTTCGTTAACATTTTGTATTGCTCTATACCCAAAAAAAATAAAAAATTGTAGTGTCGTTTTAATAAATATATATAGATCACATATAAAAAATACAAATTATGGTTCGATCGGTTCTGTTATTTTCTTTTTCTTTTGTAAATAGAGCCTAACTTGGAATGCAATGACCTAAATTTTAATATTTTTGTGAAAAAATGCGCATTGTTATTATAAGGTGCATTCTCAAACATATTAATGTGCATATGGTCTATCATTATTGTGTATGTTGACCGTGACTAATGTGCAATGTATAATGTACGGTGCAGTATGTTGTGTTATAAGGTGCAATGTATTAATGTATAAAATGCAACATATTGATATTGGTACGTTAGCATGCCTGTATATTTTGTAGATAGATGATATGATAAGTGCAACATATTGATTTATAAAGTGCATCATGTTACTTTATAAAGTGCATTCTTATATATAAAGTGAACTAGCTAATTTATACTTTTCCAAATAAATTACGTATTACGTGTATAATTGTACATCGAATTAACTTAAAATATTGAAATATTTATTTATTATTTTTATTGTATAAATTATCTATTATTACAAAATATTTTATATTATTTTAATATCTTATATTATTTTTATTTAATAATTTATTTATTATTACAAGATATTTATATTATTTTAAAAATCTTATCTTATTTTTATCAATGTGCATTCCATATAATATTTATTGTATATTAGGCAACACATGTAATTTTAAAGTGCGTATCCGTACTCAATATTGTGCAATTCAATCATCAATGTTGTGCACCTATTATTTTTTGTGATAAATTACATATTTTAACATTAATTAAGTGGCAATTTATTTAAATTTTGTCAAAATTGCAGATAAACCCCTAGAATATATCTAATTCTCATTGATGGCAATTTATTTAAATTTTGTCAAAATTGCAGATAAACCCCTTGAATATATCTAATTCTCATTGAAAAATCCCATAGTCCCAAATTAATGCTACACTTTCACCATAAGCGTCGGCCATCCCTCCACCCACCACACCACCACCAGTCGTCGGACAGTTCATCAACGGAGGCGATCGATGCTGGAGCCGATATGTATATGTGGAAGTTGAACGACGGCGGATCGGGGGACCACCGGATACTTCTGCAAATTTCGGCCACCGTCAGTCGTCAATATAAAGCTCAGGAGGTGTTGCGGCTAGTCGCACAGCTGGGGCCGTGAATATCTAAAGACAACTCGATCTCTCCGGTGTCGGCGTAGTTGTAGTCGACGTCGACATCGGTGAAAATCTGACCGGTGAGAGGAAGAAGTTGGAGATGACGGAGGTGTCGGCGTCAGACAACGGGCGGCGGGGGAGGGGAAGATCTGTGTGAGCCGGAGAACGCATATGTGCGTGTATAACAATGGCC